TTGCATATATTAATGATCGTCAACTCCACATGATGACGTCAATTCTACAAGCGATCGGCAATTCTACATGGTGACGTCAATTCTACAAGCGATCGGCAATTCTACATGATGACGTCAATTCTACAAGCGATCAATTCTACAATTCTACATTTTTAATACGTCATTTCTACAATTCTACTTGTAGAATTACTAAAATTATAGAATTGCCGATCGCATGTAGAATTAATTCCCCCCATCACTGGTCATACCTAGAGCTGGGTCTCATTGGCTGGATAGGATTAGTCTTTTCACTTAACTCTGATGTGGGAACAAACTTACTCCTCTCTTATATTCCACTAGTACAATCATACCCACTGCTGGATGGTGTCACCACATTGTCTTATTTAGTATCATTGTCTTCTTATAGATCTGATCCCAAGCAATATTCAATTTCATGTGATCTATCAATCACGAGAAAGTTAGTCTAAAATAACTGCCCCTCTTTAAGGACGCCCCTAGCTCTCCCACAAAAAATTGTTACCCCTGTAATTATGATCAATCAAATTTCAGGATCAGGTGTAACGTAAAAATCACAATTTTTTTTACCAAAAAACAAGAATAACTCTAAATTTTAATTAGAAACCCACCTTCTGCGGCCTAATTAAAATGTCCCTCGTGATGTTTTATTAATAGGCGTTATATTGTTCTAATCCTAACCCTAATTATAACACATTTTCTTGGCTTTCATTTTACGCGTAACTTTTTTACTTAGAAAACAAAACAAGTTTGTTTTGACACCTGACCTTAAGTTTTGATTGGTCAAAATTACTGGGGATTTTGTGGGAACGCTACCTAAAATCTCTTTAAGGGACCCGAAAATAGATAATCATAAACATTCAATTATATTGATGCAAATGATTATTTATTATTACCTATTTTAGTTCTCAATCTTATTTTAAACCACCCAGAAAATTTTTTGTGTTAAGAACTAGAGAATCTTCAAAATGATACCCAGACATTGAACCGATAAATTCTTTTTATTAAATGTCGTGATGATGCTAAAATAGAATGATGCTAAAATGGAATAATGCTGAAATATGATGATGCTGAAATAGGATGATGCTGAAACTTGGGGTCTTGATTTACAAATATAAACCCTACTAAAATCTAACAAAACCCTAACCTAACTACAAAAAAAAGCTAAAAAAACATCTCCAAAAATTTTAAAATTTCATATTAAAATAAGTCAAAGTTTCAACATTATCCAGTTTCAGCATCATCCTCAACAGTATTTAAAATGAGGTGGCAAGCGGAGACTTCTTGTAAAACTATGCGCATTAATCAGCGACCTGCTAGTTTTAGTGAATAAACTAATTTTCCATGGCGTAGCGAAGGATGATATACTAATACGTATGTGATTCTATTTTTATTTTTAGTAACTGTCCTAATAAAAATTTTTAGCTTCGGGTATTCGTAATAGGATTGTTTAAATTGGTATGTTTGAATTTAAATTTAAAGATGTTATACATAGTAAGATTTTATTTTATTATTCAAAATATTTAATACAATTAACTATCGATATGTATAACTGACATCAAATTTGAAGTACCGACTTTTTAATAATAAAAAGTTTAAAACGGTTATAAAGAATTTAATAGTAAAAATGCCATGTTATGTATAATGAAAATAGGTTTATAACGGAATTAACATTTATCAAACCTATCCCGTTATTTAGATATTAGGTTTAGTACAATTAATTAAATTTATAAAATTTTCAATATTATTAAATTATGCTAAGTATTTTAATTATCATTTTTTGTAAATTAAAATAAATTTTAAATATATGTTTTTCATTGTATATTTCTATTTTCATAGTATTTAGACAAAATTGAATTCATATAGTATGTTGAAATTCAAAATATTTATTATATCAATAAATAAATTTATGCCCTTAAAGCGATTAATCTAAATGTCAATATAAAGTAAGTAATAAATTGTAATTATAAACGCAGTAATATAATAATATATACCAATAGAAATTTCAACAGAAGAGATAGTTTGACTTGTTAAAGCTGCTAATATAATATAATTAATTAGCTTTAATCAAGTAAATAAGATAATTTAATTTTATAAAATTACCATTAATTGAATATGATATTTTTTGTGTGAATAATTTTGCTAGTGTACATAGAATGTATTCACTGGTAAAAAATTAAATTTTAACTAAATAATACCCAGTAATATATAGTAAAATATTAACTTTTTTACTATATATTTACTGGGTAATATATGCAGTTTAATATATTTTTAGTCAATATGTTTAAATCCATGTATTACCTAGTAAATAGGTTAATATTTGTACTATATATTACTGGTTATTATTTAGTTAAAATATAATTATTTTTTACCAATGATTGGTGAGACAATTGGCAATTCTTTGGCTGCCTTATCTACTTCCAAGAATTGCTTTGCTTCCAAGCATTGCTTTGCTTCCAAGAATTGCTTTGCTTCAAGAATTGCTTTGCTTTCAAGAATTGCTTTGCTTCCAAGCATTGCTTTGCTTCCAAGAATTGCTTTGCTTCAAGAATTGCTTTGCTTTCAAGAATTGCTTTGCTTCAAGAATTGCTTTGCTTCCAAGAATTGCTTTGCTTTCAAGAATTGCTTTGTTTTCAAGAATTGCTTTGCTTTCAAAAATTGCTTTGCTTTCAAGAATTGCTTTGCTTTCAAGAATTGCTTTGCTTTCAAGAATTGCTTTGCTTCCAAGAATTGCTTTGCTTCCAAGAATTGCTTTGCTTCCAAGAATTGCTTTACTTCCAAGAATTGCTTTTTGATTTCAGCATAAGCTAAATAAACTGAATCATCTAAATCATTTGCATCATCTGAAAATTCCATATAATTCCATTCTTTAAGTTGATTATAAACAGCGTAAGTATTAGGCCGTTTTTCTGAATCAGAATTCATACATTGTTTAGCAAATTCAATATAGCATTCTGGAGTTCCAAGAGCAAGTTCAGGCCACAATCCATAGCATATCTTCATTGCAAGTTTATCATCAAATTCATAGCCATCAAAAGGTTTTTGTCCGGTTGACATCTCTGACATGATGACTCCAAAGCCATAAATATCAGAAACTTTTGTAAACTTTTGACCTGACAAAACCTCAGAAGTGACATAAGGCATAAATAACTCCATAAATAACATTATTTGAATCATTTTCGTTTGCCTTTTGGACAATCCTAGATCTGAGATGTAAGATTGCATTTTTACTATTGCTTTTATCTTGCAAGATATTGCCACTGTGAAGTCTGCATGAATATATCCTGCGTTATGAATATAACGTAAATCACTTGAAATATCAAAAGGCAGTTTTAATTTAGTTTGCCAGTTAAGATCACGAAAATTTTTCTTAAAACTTGTAAAAAACTTCCATTGATGACATATTGAAATACCATCAAGTATTTATTTTCACTGTTTTGAGTTAATTCGTATATTTTAAATTTATTACCATACAAACCACATGTTACATGATTACCAAAACCTAATAATTTATTAGATAAATTAGTTAATTATATATTTGATAAATTAATGAATAAAATTGATGAATAAATAGATTTAACTTCTATTAAAGAACCAGAAAAGGATTTGCGTGCAATGATGCTGGATAATTCACGTACTCTTACATAATTAAAATTATTGCCTCCAATTTTTCGTATACTATCCAACCAGGTTGCTGAATATACAAAGCCGAATCCTCCTTTACCAATTTCTTTAAAATCAAATAACCTATCAAATGGAATCCATTCGATTGCTTTATTGTATGCCATGGTTCTTAGTTGGAATGCTCTCATACAATCGCATCTCTTTACTTTTACTTGTCCACTTTGTTGCAATGTCAGGATCGCATGTTAGACACCATACTTTATTCGTATTATCTTCATTACAATGTACACATTTTCCATATTTATACATAGTTGCTTTATAATCACAATATATAGTATATAATATATAATATTTTATTTCATCTGCCAATGTTATTTTAAAAATAATTTTTTTACTTACCGACTAAATTAAAGTGAATTAAATAATTTAAAGGACATTATGTAATAGTAAATAAGTATTTATGTTCTTGATTTGTGAACTTGCTTTGCTGTTTTAATTCCAATGATTAATAAATGTTCTTGCTACTCAAAACCTGAATGATTTGAAAGTATTACGTGTAATG